GGAGAAATTATTGGTTACACGTATATAATTTGGAGCTGAAAACTAGTGCGAAAGTGATTTAATTTCGTGTCTGAATGAAATAATACTTTGATCATGTTATAAGTACATTAGTGTTGTTATTTTTAGAACTTCTATTTTCCTGAATTGGATAAAATGTTGCTTGTCATCAAAATTAAGGAGTATTTGTTGTTTTGACATATTCTTTGTTTTGAGGGTGGTTATTTTTTTGTTCGACACATTTCAAGTCCAGTGACTCTTGTTGTAATGATTAGGGAGACTATGTCTAACTAAATGATCAGACGTAAACAACTCCATTGTAACAGTTATCGTTGAATAATGGCTCAAATTTGTTAAAAATACAAAAAAATATTTACTATGTTACCTTAGAATCCATACCTATGTAAAACTATGAAAAAAAAAAGACTTAAATTAGTTATAATTTTAAAAAATGCATGTTTCATTATAAAAAATAATGTAATTTATTTAATGGGAATTCAGAAATTCTCACTAAATTGAAAACGTTTCTGTGTCGAAACACTTTAATACGTTTAAACGTAGTATTAAATAAACCTATTATTGTTTTAAATACGTGTTTCATTACAAAAAATAATGTATTTTATTTAATGGGAATTCAGAAGTCTCACTGAATTAAAAATGTTTCTGTGCCAAAACACTTTGATACGTTTAAACGTGATATAAGTAAACGTATTATTTTTTTAATACTTTTACTGATGTTATCTATTCTTCGATTTGAATCCTGGTTATCACTGTTAGAATATCATCGAAAAACGCAATGAATATTTTATTAAATATCTTAATTAATCAATTTATTGTTCTGACTATTCTCACTAAGTTTAAAATTTTTGTTAGTAGAAACTCATTTCTTAAATATTTTTATTTGTGTTGTCTGTTGTTTAATTTGATTCTTGTTTATCACTATTCAAGTATCATCAAAACTCGTTATAAATATTTTACTAAAAATCATTACTAATTAATTTATTGCTATGACGTTTCTCACTGAATCGAGAATGTTTGTGTGTCGAAACACATTTCTTTGATCCGTTTATTCGTGTTATCTGTTCTTTGATTTGATTCTTGGTTATCACTATTCAAGTATCATTGAAAATCTTAATGAATATTTTATTAAAAACCACTACTTATCAATTTATTATTATAACGTTTCTGACTAAAGTGAAAATTTTTGTGTTTCAAAACACATTTCTTAAATCCTTTTATTCGTGTTATCTCTTGTTTGATTTGATTCCTGGTTATCAATACTCAAGTATCATTGAAAATCTTAATGAATATTTTACTAAAAATCATTACTAATCAATTTATTGCCATCACGTTTCGCACTAAATTGAAAATTTTTATGTGTCAAAACACATTTCTTAAATCCTTTTATTCGTGTTATCTGTTGTTGGATTTGATTCTTGATTATCACTATTCAAGTATCATTGAAAATCTTAATGAATATTTTACTACTAATCACTAATTTACTAATAAATCACTACTAATCAATTTATTGTTATGACGTTTCTCACTAAATTGAAAATGTTTGTGTGTCAAAACACATTTCTTAAATCCTTTTATTCTTGTTATCTGTCATATGATTTGATTCCTGGTTATCACTACTCAAGTATCATTGAAAATCTTAATGAATGTTTTTTTCTAAAAATCAATACTTATCAATTTATTGTCATCACGTTTCACACTAAATTGAAAATTTTTGTGCGTCAAAACACATTTCTTAAATCCTTTTATTCGTGTTATCTGTTCTTGGATTTGATTCCTGGTTATCACTACTCAAGTATCATTGAAAATTTTAATGAATATTTTACTAAAAATCATTACTAATCCATTTATATTTATAATGCTTCTCACTGAATCGAGAATGTTTGCGTGTCGAAACACGTTTCTTTGATCCGTTTATTCGTGTTATCTGTTTGATTTGATTCCTGGTTATCACTATTCGAATATCATCGAAACTCGCAATGAATATTATATTAAAAATCACTACTGATCAATTTATTGTTTTGACGTTTCTGAGTAAATTGAAAAATTTTGTGTGTCAAAACACATTTCTTAAATCCTTTTATTCGTGTTATCTGTTCTTTGATTTGATTCCTGATTATCACTATTCAAGTATCATTGAAAATCTTAATGAATATTTTACTAAAAATCATTACTGATCAATTTATTGTCATCACGTTTCTCACTAAATTGAAAATTTTTGTGTGTCGAAACGAAGTTGTTCATCTCGTTTCTTTGATCCGAATACAACGGACTGAAGGAAGTAGGTCGGGAGAAGGCATTTTTAAAACCAGTAATTATCGAACTTGTATTTTTCTCGAAGGTTCGTCAAGTAGTGTATTCGCTATCGAAAACAAAAGCCCCAGAAAGTAGGTCTGATTGCAATTTTGAGTGTGAAGTGCCCTCTGTTATTTATTTGATTTGTTTTTTTCCCTACTAGCTATCTGTCGTACAAAAGCTGCTAATTGTCGCTGACCACTGCTTCAATCTAAATGTGGTGTATTAATCAATTTTCGACCCAAATACCGCGATATTTCCTTTCTGTCCGATATATTTTAAGGAATTTATTCTCTAGGAAGTTGAGGAGTCTGACAGATGACGAAATAATATGATGGCAGCAAACTGAAAAACATTCTTCGCAATGTTCTACCATATTATATATTTCCTTTAGAAAAAAAATAACTTAAAATTATCCTCAAGCACCCTACCTATACCGACCAACAAGGATAAACTAAATTGTATCATTACTTATAATCCCTTGTAATAGTGTTCAAACAGAGAAAAAAAACTTAAAATATTAGGGAGACCTGAAAGTAATGTCGTTTCGGCTCATTAAATATTCATTAGTCTTAAAAACCGATTTTTTTTTTCGATCCTGCGTTGAAAGGTTGTTGTTAACGAGGCTGAATACATTATTTATTAAAAATAAAATCTTGATAAAAAATATCAAATGTACCGAAACGTCATTACTTTCCAGCCCCCTTAATATTTTTTTAAGTGATAAAATTGTTTCTATTTTGTCCAATATATTGCTCACTGGGTTTCACTAGATTGAGCCATGCATTAGACGCTATGAAAATTATTTTCAAAAAAATTTAAAATGCTATATTAGAAAGAAGTATATAGAAAATGTCTTTTAATTTGTGTGTGATTTTCTCTATTTAACCAATGAGTTAATAATAATCGGCAACAATTAAAAATTTCTCTCTGGATACGACAGATTTTGTTGTGTATTTGTTACAGTAAATGACCAAAATCAACAGAATGTTGACATTCACCGGTGAATGTCAACAATCGCATATTCGCTTGGGTGAATGCCCGAAATATTTGTTATCCCCAATTTGATGTTAATTTATTCGTTGATATTATTATATTTATTCGATATTTTAATATCTGCTGAGAATAGAGTAGGAGAAACATCACTGTTCGGAGTGCCAGTTAAATGTTGAACAGTGGCACTTGACCTTATAAAAACATTCAGGTAGGGCATACCGGGCAAATGTAATCCGGACAGTGGCACTGAGCTAGTTTAAGTATTTAAATTTCGTTTCACTGAAATCGTTATGTACGAATATCAACAAGATTTTACAAAAAAAAAATTCATTTAATGGTTTTAAACATATTACTTACATAAAAGTGATAATCTGGAATTATGCTGATAAATTATAGATAAACCGTCTAAATGTTTCGATTTTTTGAATGAATAAAATGAAAAGTTTTTTTAGGGATAAAAAATTTTAGTAGCTTTTATCGGAAAAATTCATAAGTTTGTGTAAATTAGTGGGGCACATGTCACCTACACTAGGCCCTCAACATGACACCTATGAATGTAGCATGTTTATTCCCTAAACTATTTTCGTGAAGTTTTAAACGTCTTTTATTGCAGAACTGTCCTGATTAATTTCAGTTTGTTTGTTATCAGCTCACGATAGCGGGAAGGCTTATTGTAAATAGCATCATTAAAGGTTTATTAAAGTAAACCTCTGAAATACAGCATGATTAAGTAATTATTCACACAATTCCTAACTATTCTAAAACTATATGGACTTGGTGTGGCAAGCCGAAACAGTAATGGGTATATTAAAAAATAATGTAGTCTCTTCAAATTAGCCTGACGCATTGCGAAATGCCGACGCAATTGCAATTACAATTTTTAATTATCCAACATCATCATCAGTAGCTCGACAGTCCTGGGTGGACCCTGGCTTTCTCAAGAAGACTGCACTTGTCCTTTCTTCTGCGTGTTTTAATTAATCTAAAATATTATTATGTTAGAATCTAAACTTCAGTATTTCATCGCTTATGTAACTTCCTAAAAAAATTTTTAGCCAAAGATTTTTCGAAGCTACATTTCAGCAGTTTAACCTCCGGGATCACTTCGTTTTTACAGTTAAATTTTTTTACCTCATTTATAAACGAATTTTTAAAAAAAAGTTACAGTTTTTGTCCTTATTTCAATCTAAGCAATTTTTTAAAAAGATACTGTTTGTATGTGTAAGAAGAGAACGAAATTAATCTACATACTGTTAAATATACAAGAGCTATCAAGTCTGCGAATGTAACAAACACTGTTGTACAATTTTTTAAACTAATAAAAAATTGGGAGTTTTAGAACGAAATTGATGAGCCTGGTCTAAGGAAAATTTAAAAAATGCATAGGTGTATAGAGAAAGAATGGACATAAAGGAATATGTGAGGTTAAGAAAAACACCCTTAAACATTTTTTTAGCTTATAAATTTATAGTCAAATAGTCCACAAAGATCACCGAAAAAAGGAGAAATTAAACTTTTTCTAAATGTTTAGGATGAAATTGTAAAAAATATAATAATAATTTTATAATCATGGTAAATCCCTTGTAAAATTTATGTACTCAGAAGACTATAAACTTTTTAAGGAATCCAATATTTTTTTGCTTGTATATTTCACACCATTCCAAATATTAATTTTATGTTTTATTTCTTTTTAGGATCTTCCGAAAGGGAGGTAGGTGTGCGAAAGGAACATATTGCAAGCTTATACGATTCACTTGCTGCAGAACTCCGGGAACGCCTGAACAATCCCAATAGTTGTCCTATTCTATTGCCTCCAAAAGACTACGACACAGTGAGCAGGCGACAAGGCAAGCTAGACGGCATAGATTGCCGACGAAGCACTAACTACAATTTGGTAGGACTAACAAAAACAGTATCGCCTGTGCCTCTTGTTCATCAGTCTAGCAATGGGAAATCTTCGCCCAAAACTCAAGACTCAACTAGTGCAAAGTCGTCTGGGGGCAAGTCTAGCAACAAGTCCAGCAGCGGTATCGGATCGGATGAGGCCCTTAGTTCAGCCATTCAGGAAGTGTCCTCTCATCCGGATTTCGAGAGCAAAGAAATCGATCCTGACACGAGCTCGGATGACGAGGAGGATTGGCCTGATACTAGCGGGCTCCCGGATGATGATGAGGAAGACGATGAGGAGGAGGTCATCCCATCCTACGAGTGGCGTCGACCTCCTCGATACGCACCGGCTCCGGCAGCTCTCAATATGCCACGAGATCGCAGGAGTCGGTCTTCTCCAGATGAAGAAGACGATCCACGATTTGGCCGAGTCCACCGTGGTGTCCGGGGAATAGTTGATAAATTCGAGCGAAGAGCTGTTTCACCTCCTCCTCCCACTCAACCAGAACCCCTTCCCTCCTCTCACCACAATAGAACCCCTATCAAAATAGCAGCTAATGCTCGAAGATCAGACCCATACGCTGATCACGGTTACAGAGAAGTCATAGAAAGGGATATACCTGAACCAGAACACTTGAAGCACTTTGAAGTTGTCTACAGGAGACATAGCAACCCTATAGAAAAGAAAATTCCAAGAGATCCCCGTCCTGTATCCTATCCTGCTGCTGTTATTGACCCAGTGTCTCCAAGACCCAGCAAGGGTAGGCCTGTCTTAGAATCTGCAGTTGAGCACCGTCCCAAATATAAAGAGCTGCCTCGGCAAGGGTATCCAGATCGTCAGCAAGATGTTTTAATTGACCACCATAGTCCTGTTCAAAGGTATCCAGTCAGCTATAATGATAGGTATGTTGACAGGCATTCTCCGTCACACCTGCCTGCTCGTGAAATCGATTATTACAGGGACTCCCGTCCACTATCCTCATCTCCTGTTGGCGTCAGGCAATATCGTTCGCCAGAGAGACAGCCATCACCATTTAACATGTGCCCTCGACAAAGACAATATAGTGCTACAGACGTTCGACAGGAGAGAGCTTTTCCATCAAAATATGTTGAGCCTTATCCAGAACCTAGACCTTCTTACCACCCTCCACCCAATGAAGAAAGGAGAAGATCTGGTTATTTTGATCTACCAGTCGACCCCAGAGACTACAGACATAGTTTTGTGGAATCACCATTTCGTAGACTACCTCTTAATACCCAGTATTAGTTGTGGTAAAGCCTGAATTGCTTTATTTTTTTTCTTCCTCGATCTGCATTAATGATGTGCCACATAAAACTTTAATAAAAACTTACTACTTAGTTTTAAAAATTGTAAGAAAATGTACTCGTGATTTTCTGCTGCGTTCGAAAAGTTGAGATATTTCCTTCGCATTTTTAATTAACGAAAACTAAGGATGTCAACTGCTACGCATTTTCCGTAGTTACTGCAGATTTTAATATTCCATCAATAAATACTTTTCCCTTCAGGGAAATTTACAGGAATGATTTTATGATAATTTTGATTGTTTTAAATTGATTTTATTTTATTTCATGATCTTAATTATGATTTATTAATAGGTTTTGTAACTTTGTCGGCGTCTAGGAAGTTTACCGATCAAATTCATTATAAACTTTCATTGACATTGATTTAAGTATTAACTGACTATGACCACAAGTGCATAAATTTTAATATTTTCTTGATATGGTTATAAATTAGAAGTAAAATCTTCGCCATGAATATCAGCACATTAATTAGTAAACAATATATAATTTTATTTAAACATGTATAAAGATTTTTATGTTATCATTTCACTATTTTATTACACAAGATATTGCAAAAGCATTACACTTTTCACAATTTTTTTTATCTACACTGTCTTGTATAGAACGATGAATTTAACACAAGATATTTTATTTTTTAACAACTGTTATTTAACCACTTTGAAGTCTTATTTTAATATTGAATCACTTAAAAAAGAAGCTGTATATCTGTCACTGGTTTTGAAAATTATTTAGAGAGCTTTTAAAGAAATAAAATCTCTGATAGAAATGAGATTTCTTCTCTAATTTAAAAAAAAATGGAAAATTTCCTCTGCTGGTTACAGAAAAGCAAGGTTGACATCCTCGGAAATTTATCCTTACTATATTGTTCACTATAAAGTTTCGAAGAGCGTTCCTTAATAAATTTTCAGGGGAATGTAATGTGCTAGCCTGTCTTAGGGAATAATAACATTGTGCTATATTGTATTTAAGATATTTTACCAACTAAAATGAACTCTTGTTATTTTAAATTACAATACATATTATGATTTATGGTTGCAGTTAAGATAGCTGCAAAGCTCCAAAAGGAAAATTTTTTTGTCTTTTTATTCAATGTTTTTCCTTTTGATATTTTTATATCATATCATCAATTGATGATTTTCTAAGAAGCTTTTGATACAGAAAAATTAAGTCATTTCGACAAGTTCTTTAAACAAATTTTTTATGATTTATTTTAGAGTATTTTAAAATTTATTGCATTTATAAAAAAAAATATACATACCATCTTAATATTTTACGTACAATGGAAAGATAACTTACAATATTACTTAAACTATTTATTACTGTTAGGGATTTTTGTCGAATAAATCAAAATTTTTGCTATTAAGACTCATATTTTTAGTTTAGTATTTTTAATAAATTGTTAACTAATCTCAAGGTCCAAAATTTAGAATTTATTTTGTTTCAACGTTGTTCGAAATAAATATGTATGTTGAGAAAGAGTGTCTTGTTTGAAAATTCTATTTAATGTTCTTTTAATAGAAATCCTATGATATTGTACTGGTATAAATTATCTACTAATTTCAAGAATTTGTACAGTTGTTGAGAGAACTAATTTATTTGTTACAAAGAATAAATATGTGAATATTTAGAAGGCCTGTTTGTTTCTGTTGTACAAAATTAGCGATGTTCTTTTTTTTCTTTATGGGAAAAATAAAAATTCATATTTTGTACTTGTTTTTCATTTCTTAAAAAAAAATTTAAAACTAATAGTAGGACCAGAATGGAATGTCGTATTTTACAGTAAATTCAGACCGAGATAAATTTTTAAGAAGGTTTTGTTTTTAATCGATGCTGTTATCACCCACGCTAACAACACCCTTTTGCCATCTAGTGTGCAAATTTTTAATGCCGGATCGATAAAAATTTATTGGTTTTCAAGAAAAATCTCTGGAGGTGGTATTTTGGACACAATCTAAATTTTCACTTTTTTTTTATCACTTAGAAAACATTGTAGCGATCAAAATAAATTAAAATCTAAAATCGGGCGAGTATAGTGCGTGAAATAATGCTTCCCACACCACTTTATTAATATTTTCCAGGGTGGTCTTCCTGATCAACATTAATTGAAAAGATGAGATTACCAGATTCGAATTTTAAAAAAACCACTTAAGCATTTACGGATGTCTAATGCTCTTGGATAAACACCGCAAATAATTTTGGGAGAAACTTCTGCATTATTACTTGATTAAAAACTCCGTTCACTTCAAAAATATACAAATTGGAAAGTCGACAAGTTTCAAAAAAGGCGCCTTCTTTTTCAAGACTTGCCAGAAGTGAGAGGAAGAAAAAGTGATTTAAAAAGTAATACGTAAAATTGTCTAAGAAAAATGGAAAAAGAAAGGTTAGAAACAAAACTATAAAAACCATAGTAACCGAAAGGGGAAAAAAAAGATGTAAAGACATGCCCGTTATAAAATAATTCGAAAAATTAGCAATTGCTAGGCCATAAATTTAACTTCCACGATACCAAAATTATTTCCACCCCAGTCACATCAGCTCATCTAGATACCCTGGAAGTTTGTTTTATTCATATGAATGCTGATACCCTTCCCTTGTCAATGACAATTTCTTACAACCTCTAAATACCTCTTGGAAATTCATTTGCCCCTCTCGACCGCTGTGGTTTTTCTTGTTCCGTTTTTTGTCTGACGGATACTGTGATATTTCTTGCTTTGTTTCTCATCCTTGTTTTTCCATATTTTGACAACTGTACGTTTTATATTTCAAATATTATTTTTTTCTCATTTAGGTCTAACAAGTCTTGAAAATAAAATAGGCGGCTGTTTTTGAGCGCTTAAAACATGTCGACTGTTATTTCCAATTTGTATATTTTTGAAGAGAATGAATTTTTTAATCAATATCTTACCCCTTCAGCTTATGGGTATTATTCGATCAATATTGCATTATTATTCTTGTAGATGTCTAAAAGCCTACCATACCAAATATGTAACTTTTCTAGCATTTGGCAGGCCCCATAAATTTAAAACTAAATTAGGATCATGTCTTTGAAGTATATAATTAGATTATGGGTTGTAATAAGTACATTAACGACTACAAATCGAAATACGCAGAAACGACATTACTTTCTGGTCCTCATAAGTGTCTTTTGAATCACTCTCAGAAAAATGATACCGTGCAATTTGCAATCTTTATGAGCTTCTTAGTACTTGAATCAGGTTATCAAGCAATTAGGTTTCAGAAATACGATAATATAGAGATTTCGCAATATGTTAAGGTTTCCTATTTTAACTTCGCTGCGCATTTGTAAAAATTTCCTAACAAATCGATAAGGTAGGAAACAAACTTAACGTTACACGAACTCTATGCAGAATTTCTCAAATATGGCTATCAATATAGCATCTTATTAATGTTGAAGCAAATTTAAACAATATTATGATTTCACTTTTTATTAAGGATGGAAGGGACTGATGTTTTTTTGCTTTGTTCCCTGAACAAGTTGTCGTTTTTTTCCAAATGTGTAGAAATAAAAAAATGCTTACAAAAATTCTTTGATTCATTTAATAACCCGAGATATGACAAATAAACAAATAATAAAAATTGAAACTAACAATCTTTCAACCACTTACTGACTTAACTAATGGAACCGCGTTTTCGAAATTGCAGCTACTCTTATTTTAATAATCAAACATACAAATCCGTCAAAAAGAAATTTTATTCAGAAAAGATAAGATTTTATATCTGATTCCGTTACTAAATTCATTGTTATGAATAATTAGTTAGCTTACGTGAGGTCACCCTTTTGAACCCCTAAGATCGGCACTAAGTTTGAGAAAATCCAATCATTAGAACAAGAATTATTTGGTTGATTATTTTTTAGCTTTGCAGATACGTTATTTTTCAACATGCATGCATTTCCTTAAGAGTTCAATTAATTTTGCATTGCTACATAATTTTCATTGTGCATATCGACTAAATCGTGCAATTTTGTGTATATAAAGTTGAAGGACTTGCAACATGAATATAAGGTTTAAAGGTTACCTCATTTTATACAACTTCTTCAAATTTATGAATACATTTATATACAAATCATGAAATTCAATAAACAGCATAGTTATTAGAAAAAATAAATAGATTTTAGTTTTAAATTATACTTAATTTTAAAAGCAAATAAATATTTATTTTTCTAAGTTTTGAAATTTATCTTCGTTACTCGGGGAGACTAATCAAGTTGCATAATCATGCTGTGTAATAAAATTATTTTAACTATTGTAAGTATTACTTTTACAATAAGTAATAACTAAATGCGCATAAATTTGCCATCCGATTGTTTTCAAAATGTCGAACAGTTTTTACTATCTAAATTGCTTAAGAATGATGAACTACAATATTTAATAGCAAAGCGATCTGAAAGGAACTGGGAAAGCAGTTTGGATATTAGCGAGCAGAGAGCGGCTGTTTCCTAATTATTAAATAATCTCTTGCTAAGAAACAATTAATGAGTTTTTATAGAAATCAAAATTTAAATATGCATTTAAAAAAAATTGTGCATTGTGGGGATTGTTGAGTGGTAGCGAGCAGGGGAAGAACACTAATAATATAATGTTTTTTTTTCAACCCTACGTCTCTAAACTTAAATCCGTGTTACTCTGTTGTTAACCAGTCGAGTATATGAATTAAAAGCATGCTTATTTTAAGTCTCTTTTATTTATGTCAAGCAAATTAGGAGGGTGAAAGTGAAATTGTTTTAAATAAGTAATTTAAATTATAAATTCTTAATGAATGTGTTAGTCATATTAAATTTTGAATAAATTTCTTAATTAAATTATAAATTCCTAATAAATTTGTGAATCATAATTTATTTTTAAATTGTTTTTAAGTAATTAACTAAAATATAAATTCTTAATAAATTTATTAATTCAATTAAAAATTCTTAATAAATTTGTTAATTAAAGTATGCATTCTTAATAGCTTTGTTAATTAAAAGACAAATTCTTCGTAATTTTAATTAAATAATCCAGTAAGTTAATTATAAATTCTTAGTAAATTTGTTAAGTAAATTGTAAATCCTCAATATTTGTTTATTATATATTAAATTCGAATTAAAAAATTAAGCAAATTAATTATAAATTCTTAGCAAATGCGTTAATTATATTATAAATCCTTAAAAAAAATTTAAAATTAAGTTATACATTCTTAATAAATTTGTTAATTAAATTATTAATTCTTTGTAAAGTTGTTGTTTAAATTCTTAATAACCTTGTTAACTAAATTACAAATTCTAATTCAATGATTAAATTCTTAAATTTGGTTAAAATTAGTAAAATGTCACGGTAACATCTCGACTTCGCAACACCAGCACAAGTCAACGAATGTTTATGGCATCTGAGGTTAAAAAGCTCTTACACAGACTCCTAATTTAAAGCAAATTACAATAAACACTCGTAGAATAACAAATAAAAAAAAAACTTTTTTCCTTTTATATCGCGCATTTACCTCAACTGCTTCCGAAAATTATTAATTTATTTCTCCATAGTGATTTAGTATATCATCGTTTTCTATTTATTTTTCGGTTTAGTATATCATCTCGACATCAATTTATACCATATTTCAACTGTTTTTTGTCCCTTCTTTGCCCTAAATGATGCATACATTTATTTTACCATCTGTTTTCAATAATTTCTCATTAAGTAGTTACCGAGTTCAGCTACGGCGTAAGATAAGTCATTGTCCGTTCTTGGTAAACAATTCAACAAACAAGTTTTGGGGAATGTCGAGAATTCTTACAATAGCATATATAAAATGAAAATAATGCGCCTTCTTCTTAAAATAATAAAACAAGAAGTTAAATTTCTGCATTAGATATTTTCATAGAATAATAAAAATCTTTATCTTTCTTAGTAGATGGGAGTAACTCACGAATCGTTAATTTTGTATTCAAATGATTTGAATTTTCTTAAAAGTATTAGTAAACCAGTTTATCTAATTTATACGCATTGTAGGGTGTATATTCAATAATTTTCTATAAAGATGCAACGTATATTTTATAGACTTTTAATGCTTTTTAGCTGCCATATTAATATGGAAAATGAATTCTTAGGAATAAAGAATATTTAAAAGATTTTTTGTTTATAATCTGTTTTTCTATATTACATTAAAAGATAACTAATCGTCTGGTATATTCTTATTGAACAGAAAAATTGCTTCTTAAAGGTGTCCAATATACAAAGGATATAGAAATTTCTTTCGCTGTCTACAAATTAAAATTAAGAAAATTTATAACGGTATTTTCCTTTAAATCATTCATTTATCTCGTTTTAAAGGTATATAATGTTTACCGGCAGTATTTATTATACCTTCTTAATATTATTTTTTAACATTGATTGTTTTCCTAAATTAAATTTGTTGTTCCTTTCTTATAATATCAACGATATTATATGACGGCATTCAGCTATATTTAATGATAAAAATATTTATTAACAAAGCATTAAAATTATTAAAAGGTAAGTAAGTTATATTTATTCATAAAAAAAATTTTATGCGAAACTATTTTCAATTCCCTTACATGCAATGAAAATAATGAGCACAAAACATCCGTTTAAAATTCCAAAGCAAGCCTCAGAATTAATTTATAGCACTAAATAATTTTTTAGACGAAAAATATTTATACAAAAATAAAATATAAAACAAAATATAAAATTTAAACAAAAAA